AATTTCAGCTGTAGTTGTAGTCTCATCCTCTGTATTGATTCCCTGGAGGGCCTAGATCAGTCTAATTGCCTATACTTTGTCTACCAAGCTCATCTGTCTATAATGCTCCCTCCTCTAAAAAGGTACCCCTAAATGCTGTGAGGGGGCAAGGGTGAAGGCTACTTCTGGTGAAGGGGGTTGTGGTAGATCCTCCAACTGGTGGTCAGCTGGTTACACCCAGCTAAACTGAACTAGCATGGTGCCGGGTGTGGGAGGCCCACCTGAGGATTGTTGCCAGAAGCATAAGAGGCAGAACTAGAGAAGCTGTTGAGAGGTTGTTATGGAAGCTGTATGGCAGCTGTTGGAAGCTCTCTTGGATTATTCTGCTGGGTTACTTCATCATGCTGGCTTTCCTGGTGAACTTGGTTATCAGAGGAGGGGCTTGGGACCTCATTGTCACTGAAGATGGTTATGGTTCATTTTATGGAGCTCTGGTCCTCATCTTAAGCATCACTTCCTGGTTCCAGAAGGAAAGATGGTGCACTGCTCAACCTTCTGGAGCAGCTTGTCACATTAGCTTTCCTGAGAGGAGCTCAGCTGTTCTCATCCTTGGAGGAGCTCAGGACTTCACTGTTGTTGAGGACGGCTGTGCTACTTTTCAGGGGAACTCTGGTGCTTACCTTGAGCATTGCTTTCTCGCACCAGTTCAGACTTGTAAGCCTGCTAGCACAGATCATTCATCCTGATGGCACAGACTTTCTAGCTTCCACCACTGATCTTTGGGCTTTCCCAGTACAGATCCATGAAATGGACCTGCATGAAGCATTGTCATGGGCTCTAGGCCTCCAGTTGGACTTGTGGAAGGCATTGTTATGGGCTCTAGGTCTTCAGTAGAACTCATGCAGAGTATTAGGATCCAGGCCCTCAGCTGGATTCTTTGGTATTTACTGTGTGGACAGACTTCCTGCCTTACTTTGTATATGATTCTTTGGGTGACTATTGGAAAATAATGCTATAAACTATGTGTCCTGTATTGTATTGCTACCTTGAAAGGCCCCAAACCAGAACTGAGTTCACAGTTAAGATCAGCAGTCAGAGATATGCTGTAGAAGTTCAGTTTAAAAGCCCTCGATAGATGCCAGGCATTTTCATCTACATTAAGGTATATAGATATAAGTTTGGAGGCAACAAGACCAAAGAATGATTAAGTATACACGGGTCAAATAATGATCATCAAGTCTATTATGAATATAATCAACAAATTTTTCCACCAAACAGCCTTCCACAGATAGGGTAAGGAGAAGATCTAGGGAATTTTAGACTCTGACATTGCTTTAACCTGTTGTTTAATATCTTGAACAGCCATTGAGATATTAGGAGGATCAAGAATGTATGAAAAATATTTAGGTTTGACAATTGGACATATACCCTCCTGCGCTGCTGTTAGACTGTCTAACGTCATCCAGAGATGGCTGGAGGATGGCTTGCCACATTAATTTTTCTTAATTTAGGAAGAAGATGAATTGAGGTGTTGTTTAAGGCTTGTTGAGTACAGATGGTCAAGGCCTCAATTTGTTGCATGACATCCTTTTATGTTAGGGCAGGGGTAAAGACAGAAGCCAAATAATTACACTAGTGGAACACACTTTTACACCATCAATGGCATAGATGGGGTAAGTTTGAAGGTTGGTCAACACTCTTGCCTCATAACCATGCAAGTATTAGTTACATAAATAGAAAAAAAAATTGCTTCTAAGTTGTGAATGAGTGAATGAGTAAATAAATACTAGAGAATGTTAAAAAAAAAATCATCTTAGCCAAAGTTCCCAGAAAGCATAACCTGCATAATCTGAGAAGGAACCTTGATTGCCAGCAGGCAACAAGATTAAAGCAAGATTGCCGGCAGGGGGATGAGAGGGAGCGCGGGGGTGGGAATGCAAAGGAAGGAAGGATACAACAATTCAAAGTATAACCCTACAAGTTGAAGTCCCTGATGCCAAAGTCTCATGTTCAAGTATTCTGATTGGGATAAAATTATTTCCTAATGTATAATTTTGTTTATTATTTATTTTATTAATTTATTATTGATGAGTTAAACATTTTTCAGTAGGTGTTTGTCTATTGCACCAACTTTTTTTTTGAGACAGTGTCTCACTATGCAGTCCAAGGGGGCCTGGAACTTGCTTATATAACCCAGCCTGGCCTCAGACTCCCACTAATCCTCTTGCCTCTGCCTCCTGAGTGACAGGATTACAGATAGGCTCCACCACATCTGACACATCTACATCTTTAGATTTTTACTTTTGGCAAAACAAATTCGACTTTTCTTTTAGAAGAAAATGGAAACAGAACTCTAAATTCTGTGTGTATTCTGGGAATTAGTGACTTAAGAGAGGTTTAAGAAACAGATGAGATTTAAACCTAGGCTGGATGAATAATTAGAGATAAAGAGACTAGTCACACTGAGGAGTTGCTATATTCTAGATGCTTTAGATATATAAAAACATTAACTTATTGTAGGTATTACTATTCTCAGTGTAAAGGTGGGAGACCAAGGTCTAGTTAAGTTAATGAATTTATTGAAAATGTAACTGCTTCCATGATCTGGCTGCACTGTAATGCGGGTTATCCTAAGCTTAGCACATTCACTTTCTCTGAGACAGCCCAGTGCAGGCCTGCACCTTGGGAAGACTGGGCAGGGTCTTCTCTTCTTGACACTGTAAGCCTGCATTATTTGGCTGTGTGAGCTCCGCACATGCTCTTTTTTCAAGCTTTCTTATTGAGGGATGACGAGACTATCTCCTCAAGGAGCTGTTAAAAATCATTAAATGAGTACTTACAAGTGAAACGCTTAGAAGAGCAGCTGACATGTAAGTGTTCAATGGATCCTGGCTCCCGGGGATAAGGAAGAAGGGCAAAGAGGAACAAGAGGGAGAGAGAAGAGAACAACGAGGACCAGAGGAGAATTACCACTCTCAGATTGCTGCTTTCCTAAGCAGAGAGCATTCTGAGGGAAGGGCTGGGAGCCCCGAAGACTTAAGAGAAGGAAGCACAGTTTTCTCTCTAGCTAAAAATATAAGGAATATGGGGGCAGGGCACTGCGGAATAAAAAACAGTGATCAATTAATTTTTTAACCAAAAAATAACTAAGGAATAATCAAAGAACTAAGATGCTACTGCAAAAACGCACACAGTCCTAATTGGTAAAATCTACTGAGAAAAATAACTTCAGGATAAAGCAATGCTTGACCTCCAGACACATCCACCATCGCTACTACCGTAAGATTCTGTGTTGACTTGCAACCTACCGTGTTCAGGGAAGTGTGTAAGCTGGCTAATAAACACAAGAAAAATAACAAATGTGACATGGGAACTTAGGAAGAGAGAAAACCAAATCCCTTCCACCTCAACCACGGAGGGTAAAGATCTAAGAGGAAATTAGGAAAGAGCACGTAAATAAAGTTTCTACTATAAACGCCATTGGAATAGCAAGAAAAAGAGTTGTAGAGGTTTTGAAAATGTCAAGAAAACTGGCCTGGGGGAAATGAGGCTTGTTATGAAGTATTTGGTTCAAAAGAAATCGGAGATTTGGCCTCTGTGTGGCACCTCTCTGCGGCTAACGTCTCCTGGGAGGAAAGCCCTCTCAAGAGGTGCAGTTAGGAGACCAGCTACGTGAGGACTTGCATGGGAAGCCTCTCGGACTCTGGACCTCACCAGTTATCTCGTTTGCCTAGTAAGGCCTGCACTTTCCCTATTTTCTTCACTTCTGTCTACAGATAAGGTAACTGTATTTCACCTTTTATCAGAGAAAAGTTTCCTTACAAAGAACTAAGTAGTTGGCTTATGAGCTCTCCTGCAAACAACTGGCATTCACAGACCCTTAAGTCCTCGAGGTCCATGATGATTTTCTGGAATCTCCTTTTCCTTTTGCTTCCTCCTGAATACTTCCAGGGACTATTTCAATGTCCACCCCCAAAGGGAAAAGCCCTGGGTTCTAACAAATCTCAGCTGTTGGGGGCGTGTTTATCGCCCCTGCTGGGGAGAAAAGAAGGGGCAATTTCCAAACATCAGTGGCGAGGCTGTGTTCCTCAAGGGAACGAAGTGACATCTCCTGAATTCACTGCCAGCCCCAAGCCTGGCCACTTGCGCAAGGCGCTCAGCGCCTCAGATCCTGCAGCTGGGAAAGGGGCATGAGCCTGTTCCCAGGGACTCCAGGCCAGGGGTCAGCCTCAACAGAGAATCCTATCGCACCCCGCCGAAGCCCCAGGTCTGGTGCAAAGTACGATTCCCGGGCCACTCCCACGCCAACTCCCGAGGCGGGAGGCCGGAAAGTTTGGGCGACGCCGCGCTCACCGCTCACCGAGCACCAGTACGCCTCAGTGCTGGCGAGGTTCCGCCCGCTGGCACGCGACCCCCATTCGCCAGCACACGCAGCAGCGGCGGCGGGCGGAGGGGCGGGCGTCCCCGGTGCCCGGCCTCGGCGGCGCCTCCGG